GAGACAAATGCATAGAAATGCTACATGGCCAGCGGAAAAGGGCGGACTCCAGCAGTGACAGACCTCGGAGACAAATGAATAGAAATGCTACATGGCAGCGGAAAAGGGCGGATACCAGCAGTGACAGACCTTGGAGACAAACAAATAGAAATGCTACATGGCCAGCAGAAAAGGGCGGACACCAGCAGTGACATGACAGACCTGGGAGACAAATGCATAGAAATGCTACATGGCCAGCGGAAAAGGGCGGACACCAGCACTGGCAGACCTGGGAGACAAATGAATAGAAATGCAACGTGGCCAGCGGAAAAGGGCGGACACCACCAGTGGCAGACCTGGGAGACAAATGAATAGAAATGCTACGTGGGCAGCGGAAAAGGGCGGACACCACCAGTGACAGACCTGGGAGACAAATGAATAGAAGTGCCCGCCCTTTTCCGCTGGCCATGTAGCATTTCTATTCATTTGCCTCCCAGGTCTGTCACTGGTGGTGTCCGCCCTTTTCCGCTGGCCATGCAAACACCACCAGTAGAACACGGCGGACACCAGGGCGGACACCAGCAGTGACACAAAGGGCGGACACATCCTAAGAAAGAATTGAGAACCCCTAACAGTACACTGTTTGAGGCCCAGCCAAGCTGTCGTGCAAACGTGCCTGCAATCAACATGTTAAGCCTTGCCGAATTTCAACTGTTGACCAAGCGGTTACCCTCATCTTCTCCTAAAGTGCTACTGCAGTAAAGGGCTAATGCGTTTGTTGAAAACAGTACAAGTGAGCTGACCCTCCACCTTGCTGCTCCTGCGAGTCAAGGTCTAATGCAATCAGCAACTAGCACTCGGGAATGTCCAAACTGATAGAGCTCTTGCGAGCATGGATCTAAGTGTGTGTGTGTGTGTGTGTGTCCACCCCTGGACAAAGGGTTTCTTCCGGCCGATCCCCCTACCACTTGTCCAACATCGCTTCCAGGCAGGGGGACGCAGCAGATGCAAGGGACTGCGTCTAACAAAGCTACCTTGCATCTGGGAAGCAGAGCCTGATCAGCTCTGTGTACCTGCTCCAACTTTTGAACAAGCTGTCTAATCCACTTGGTTTGATTCATGGTCCTTCACGTTTCCAATCCCAAAACCTTGGTTTTGCAGCTGAGTTGCGCCGCTCGTTCACCACCGCTGAGCTCTGCAGTCACGCACAAACAGCTTGTTCAACATTCAAGTGAACTGACTTTCTCACCATGCCGTTCCCTCCCCATTTTCGACCTGGGAACTGAGTTAACTGAATACAATTGTCAGAGTGTGTGCGCGTGGCGTGGCTGACAGGCTACACTAAAAGCCGCCCACTGAAATGCCCACCCGTGCACTCCAACATATTGTTGGGGAACCCCAGCGGCGGAATGTCTGAAACTCTAGCCCTTATTCGGTGACCAATTTTGAACGCAGGCGAGAGGAGCTTGATTCCTGAACAATGGGATGGAACCACGTGCATGTCATTGTCTGCCGTTCCCTTTCAGGAATAAGGCCACACGAGGCAACATAGCAAATGATGAACTGATCCATGCTTGGGTTAGACCTGTTCCGAAATTGCAGAGCTCCAACCTGCAATGTCTGACTTGCCTGTGTTTGACCACTGGGCCAGGCTCAGGCCATCTCAGGCCCCTGACGTGCACTGAGAGAAGGATTCAAGTGGCTGTCAAGTCTGCAGAACTTTGAAGCACAAAGTACGTGCATGGCACCAATGCCAGATGGAAAATGCCATGGCCCCATTTGCCCAAGGCCTGGTTCTTGTGCCAGAACAGGCCCCCAACAGCATAGGAGAAGGCCACCCCACAGCAGTTCCAAACATCGCCTCTCCAAAGCATGGCTCCAAGGTACAGCGCTATACCACCCATTGCTCCCAACGAGTCAGCTTTGCTGCCGGGCCTTGAGGACAAGCATCGAACCACAAGCAATGCTGCACAACCCACGTTTAGCACCAGTGCAGCGAGATCGAACCACATGTTTCCTGACACGGCATGTGTGTAGGCCAACAAGCACACGTGAATCATTGCAAAGTCCGCCGTGCGCCACGGGCTGCTCAAATGATTGAAGCCTTTCTCGCCCGCATTGAGTGCGCACTGCAGATGGTACATGCAGCTTGCAAAGCAATGGCCATAAGTGGCCCCAGCCACGAAGTGCAAACGAGTTGGCGTCGGTTCGGCTGTGCCCAGCGCCCGCATGTAGGCGATGTAGAAGCTGGGAACTAGCATGGTGCCAGCACTAAACATCTCCTGCCAAAAATGGTCCTTCCCTGCCGTCATGGCTTTGGCCAGCGGTGGAATTGCACTCGGCACCCACTTTGGAGGGCCTTGGGTTTGTTATCTGTTTATCTGTGTCTTTGCTCAATTTGGGGGGGGCATCTAGAATCTAAAATCGAGTGGCAAGCAGGGGTTTCGCAAGCTCCAAAGATCACGAGCTGAGCTGTTTGCTACGATCCAAACCCGATTGTCCAAACTGGACCCAAGTAGTAGAACAAAGCTCTTGGTCAAAATCAAGCTTAGCAAGCGCCTGAAAAGACCCAATGCTACAAATGTGCCTATGAACCAAAAGGCTCTGGAGCATGAAGCACATGGAAAACGAAGGCAGGCTCAACTCAAAGTTGGGTCCGGAAAGACTTCCTGATCATGCACAAAATCCTTCACCACGATGCCTGGGGGCATCTTAGTCAACATAAAAGCATTGGCATAAGCCGCTCCCCAACTTCTTTGGCCAGCGGCCAGCTGTGCTGGCATGGCCCCAGTGTTAAGGCAATAAGCCCAGAAATTGCCTCCAACAAGGTAAGTTTCGCAGTTGGGGTGACAAATGAAAGTCTCACAGCCATATGAGCTTGCTTTCGGGGCCGCTGAAAGGCATTCCGACCCAATATCCTGCATGTTCATGTCATCCAACCACCCCTCCGTCTCGTCGCGCCCTGTTCCGCTGCTCGGAAGCGCCTTGGGAATCCATGGAGTTGATGTGTTGTGACAAAAGAGGCGCTCCCTTGACATCCCGAGCCTTGGTCAGAAGGTCAGTATTCTGAGCCATGACGGTCAGACCCTTTCACCGGGAGATTGAATTGAATACTTAGAACAAGTTGGAGGTTGCACTGTCCATAGCTGAATTTCATAGTATATGCATACTGCATACATCGTTGCCGTCCACTTCAGTATTCTTCACATCTTCACTGGGACTCAGCCCAATGTCCGTCTCCATATGCAGGTTTTACGGTTTGACTGGGCTACCAGCCAAACGTGGGACACTGTGAAGCAGCTCACGCATCCTGACACGTCAATAGCGCCAAAAAGAGATAAACGCAATGGCGTCCCAACACAACTGCCACATACCAACTCACACGTTATGCCTCAGGATGTCTAGAGCTTATCTAATTGAAACTTACAACTAAATGGTCTATCCTTCACCCGAAGCAAACATGCCGGCCGTGGACGCTGTATCCCAACTGCGGGCAATCATCGACATGTCTCCTGGCTGCGAGGGACCTGTTCGGAATTGTAGACTGTAGACCTTGCAGACCTCTCTGGTGCACCTCGTTGTAGCCCAAACAAATGCTCTTCACCGAAAGCAACGGTGGGACGATGTGGGACGTGTGGGAACACCACGCGTGACCGTCGATGCTGTCGTCTGTTTTTTTATGAGCGCCTCCGCATGCCATCGCAGGAGAGCCATCCGGATTTGACTCCAACTCCTGCAGCACTTCACTCCGTCTGCAGCGGGTGGGTCTCTCCACCCCCAGAGATGGGCGTTTTTTCGGTCAATCTCCGCATGTGAAGAGCTTGGTGCTCAGGGGGGCCCATCTATGCCCATGGCCCATGGTCGTCTTTTCTCCTTTGGGCCCTGTCGGCGTCTTCTCCGTCGGACGCCGAAGAACCATGTAGGACGCTGAATTCGTCACAGCTCTGCAAGACTGGATTGAAGAGAACACCTGCAAATTTGCTTGTTTCTGATGTGGGTGCGTGTGTCTGGGTAAGAGAGACAAAAAGGTTGTCAGGCAGCACACAACGAAACTCGACATGAACCTGTAACGCCATCAAAGAAGTGTACATATCTTGGGGGGAGGTATGTCCAGAAAAGGAACAAGAAAAGGGCATGCGTCGGTACTCCATATATTGTGACATCCCTCCTCCAACCACCCAGCTCACAGCATCCAAAGGGTTCCAGTCCATAACATTGTTCGTTTCCATCTCCAGGTTGAAAAGCCAGAACCAATGATAATCATGATCATCCGTGTTACAGTACTTGTTGCAGTAGCTTCTTCTGTTCGGGCCCATCTGCGGTACATATCTCCCACGATAAAACAGCCTACGATCCTCCAAGCTTGTAATTAATATATAGGTGAAGAAAAAGCCAAAGCCCTCCATCGGCGAAACCTCCCCGCGGAATATCGCTGGCCCCGGCGCAAATGCCGTGATCCTCCAGTCCTCGTGATCCTCCAGTTGTTCCACTTCCGAAGAGGCCGTCGACATCGAGGATTTCGAGATCTGACGTGCCTTGGGGCCTCCGCGAAACGCCGGCCCAACCGGTGGCGGAGAAACCGGAGGTGGAAAACCGGCGGTTGGTGGCACCGTCTGGATCCAACAGATCCGATCTGATCCGATTCCAGGAGCTGAGTCAAACACGTTGATGCGGAGAGACCGACACGGATGGCTGACATCTTGTGACTGCCCCGTAGTTACTCATGGCCAATGAATTTGCATCACTACTTGGTCTAAGGAGTGTTGCATCCATGTTTCTTAGATCTTGTGGGGTTCTTATAGGGAAGAGCTGTTCTGCACACGAGACGTGAAGTCAACATGACCGTTAAACTGGTAGCTGATAGCCGCTAGCCTGTGCCTGCACTCTATATACATATAATATATACAAATAAGCATCCAGTAGTTGCTTATATATATAATATATGTATATATAACTAACTACTTGTATTTAGCTATAACTATATCTCTGTCATACTCTCTGTCATGTACCCATCAGCAACTTGCAACAGGACCTTGAAAAATTGGCCGTGTGGCTGAGGTATGAACAATCACATTGATATTGTTGATATGATCATATCGCATTAGAATTAACACAATGATGACCGTTTGGAAAGGATTTTTCATGAAATTCAATGAAACTCCATAACCCCATTAAGACCATCAAAGGGCAGTCCAACCCATCAACCGCCCAACCCACCCTGCCTGCACCGAAAGCATGGCCGCTTTTCGGGATCGGAGCCATGTGCTCAAGGCCTCGGCGTCGAGCACAAGGCCGCCCGTGAGTCATGGCACCTGGGCACCCTGGTTGACCCCTGCAAATGAACAGATTTGTCAGGGATGTCAACCTCCCATGGTTTGGTGGGGCAGCCATGGGAAGCCTTGGACTCACGGCCAATTGATTTGGCCTCGGCTGCAGCCGAGCCATGTGACCAAGTGCAGGAGCCAGACTCTGGGGTTTGGCCGAGAAAGTTGAGATCAATTCATTCCGCCTGTCTGACAGACTAGCCGACTAGCCCCTCTATAGATGAAGCAAACTACCAAGCTTGAGCAAATGAAAACAACAACTACTCAGTGACCCCTTTGTTGGGTCGTCCAGTTCGGTTAGAACAGATTCCCCTCTTCTCCAGTGGGTCTAGAAGCCGGTGACTCAAGCTACGCCATCCAGGTTGTAACATGTTGTAAGTTGTAACCATTCTTTGTCTGGCAAGGTCAATGACTTCCCGGTTTGTGGCATCTGAATCTGAGAGCGCATGCGTTGAACCGGAAACACCTGGAAACGTTTCTGTACGGTGTTAGTGTTTGTCAGGACATGCCCAATTGCCTGGAGGTGGTCGCAGGGTGCAAGATTGAGGAGCCTGGCCAAACACCGCCATGACAGCGTCCTGGGTAGTATTACTTCAGAAGCCAACACAAAACACGTTGAAAAACATTCAACTGCAAAACTCGACTTTGGGTCACCAGCTGAACCAGTAGAATAGAAGGGGGTTTGCCACGAGCTCGTATAATTCTTGCATCACTCCATGAGAACATGCAAGAACCTTCAAGAATGGCAAACACTGTGCATCCGGGTCAAACAAGTCTCAATGGTCTGCTCCATTGCGCTCGTTTGCTCGACACCGGTCGGCGCCTCAGGCAACATCGTTGAAACCTCAGCTTCAGCAGTTTCTCCGCCTGTTGGGCGAGTTTGGGGCTTCCTTCGCTTGCCCACTTCCCGAAGGATCGACACACAGCATGAAACTCAGCTGAGCATCCGGTTGTGGGTATGGCCCGCTGGGACACATGAGACCAGGCTCCTGGGCAAGTCGGCTACACAACCCCACCGGGGCCGATGCTATGTTTTCTATTTTTTTCTCATGTGGGGAGCTCCCCCCCTCAACGGAGGCAGTGACAGTTGGTGAGTAAAGACCTGCAAGTCCTGAAAAGAAGCCGGTCTCTTGAAAGATTTGAAAGGGTATGATTCCAGTCATCACGCACACTCCCAAGGTCCACCGCCTCAAACGAATGCTCCAAAGCCTCCACTGCGGAGGATCCCTTCCTTTCGTTCCCACGTCCGAGCGTCACAAGAGACCGGCATGGAAAGGCGGGCATTGGCTCTTTGATTGTTCTGGATCAACGCCGCCAGCTGAGTGATCAAGCCTCAACACCCCAAAAACGATGCCATGGACGGAGAATTCTCGTGAAAGTCTGGTTCCCTTCGTTGAAAACACGCCAACTCGGGACTGCGACCCGCGCGTCGCGACCCTCGTGACGATCCATACCGGAGGAATTTGATTTGAGCATCCACTGTGGAACTCGAAAGCCATGTTTGACTTAGATATGTCCAGTCCCATCTCAGGCGCTTGGAGCAGTCGCTCGGGACTTCTGCGAGATTCCAGCCCGGGCGCATGGGGAAGGGTACTTGAAACGCAAGTGGGAGGTGGGAGTTGGTGGGAGGCGGCTCCCTCTCTCTCTCTCTCTCTCTCTTTCTTTATATATATATATATCGTCTTCAAACAGAAGCGGGAGGTGGCTGGGCCAACGGATTTTTGGGGGACATCTGTCGGAAAGCTGACAAAGGAGGGAAGGCAGCTACACAAAGCCATTGTCTTGAGCAGATCTCCCAAGGAAAGATGGATTTAGACGTGGACCATGGAGCAACCCTTCATCAGAAAAACTCCTTCCGCGCCTGCGTCCTGCATGATCACAAAGAAATTCAAATATTCAAAGAAGTTCACAATGCCTGCGTCTGGAGGGCCACTTTGGTGCTCCCGGTTCACGTGCATACTGTATGGCTGATAAAGAAAGACGTTGAGAATATACGCTAACTGGAGGGCACTATTCCAACAAAATAAGTGCATCGACAAATAGGGATGCCTGAGTTGGCATTAAGGATTCCAATCTTCGATGTTGGGGTCTGTGCCATTTGCTCCTGCATTCTTCCAACTGGACCTCCATCTAATGGTTCCGTGGGGTGTCCGCATCTTGGACCATCAAAGCAAAACCGTGCTTGAGCACACAGGCTCTCGCCAAGATATCCTGTCGACTGCCACTTTTGGGTTTGGTAGTTAAGCCAAAAAGCCAGGCATCCTCCAATCACAAGTGCCCTTCTGCTACATTGCATGTCGCGTGTGTCAGTAAGAGATTCCGAACTTGCATCCTGCCTTGCCAAATATTGCTGCCTGAACAAATGCTTGGAGGTTTGAGCCAAAAGATTTCAACACATCGAGCCAATGACTGAAGCGACGACGCTCACCAATTCCACAGCTTCAGCTCCCATTCCGATCATCCGTCGCTCCTCATTTTGGGCTTCACAACTCGCCACCGGACACGCCAACGATGACAGCGTCAAAACGGCGCAACGCCACGACGGAGCACAAAACGGGTGGAGCTTTTCGAGTCCAAAGCCGGGAACCAATGGGTTCAACATGGTTCAACGACCGTAACGACGATGACGGACTCGGATACCGTTCGGGCTCGACCGTCTGTAGGACCACCCGTTCGCTCTTGAAGGAGAAGCTTCTGATCAAAGTCTGTTCCAGCACCCCGGGACTTCTTGCCAAACTCCGCAGATGTGTGCTGCGGTGGTATTGGCGTCTTTGTGACTTGAGGGCCGGGTTCAAACATTTGCGAGCACCCAGACACACAGAAAACTTGCAACAATGCGCAACAGTCATATGTGTATACAAGGCATACATATATATATATATATATGCATGTATACACTGCATATACATATATAAGCATTACTATAAGCATGTATAGGAAGCCCTCTGTGGAGGGGTTGGAAGAAGTGCACAAAGTGGTCATGACTCAACCTCTACAATACCGATACACCCCAAACCCGTCGACAAAAATTGCAATTACACATAGACGAATTCCACTAGTTCCCCTGCAAATCCCTTCGCCAAAAGGTGTCACAAGGCCGCAAATGCTCGGGAAGGATCGTGAAGGGGAGCGCAAATGGGTTCAGATATATATATATATAATATATATATATATGTGTGTGTGTGTGTTCTGTCTCCATCACGGCTTTGAGTTGATGACAGACCAGGTGCTCGCAAAGGATGAAAGATCCCTGTAGAGAGAAGATACTCCTCAAGAGTGTGCGCCCAGAAGCAGGATTTTTGCACAATGACCCAGCTAGGTTGGTCCACAGGCAGTGGAAACCTCTCCAGCAAATAAGACATCATTCTTGGCAAGTGAATTTAGAGCTATGCAGAAAGAGCTATATATATATATACATCCCTCTGACCAAATGATAGAATGGATCATCCGACAAGCTTCGGTCATGTCACGTGCATCAATATCAGCTGAAGCTGCACCTAAAAATAATAGAAGGGAAGGTTGTCCCATGTTTTGCCCATCTTTCATGGCACCTGACTGGACGAGATAGACACCCGCAAGCCTCCAACAATCCAACTGGGGTGATATATCCAGCGCCAAGCTGAGCCAAACAGCTGGAACCCTTCCCAACTAGACACTAGCAGAATGCGACATTCAAAGTCTTCAGGACTGCTAGGTTGTCAATGCAGGTGGCAATGAAGCTCCTGTTGAATGGCTTCTTTTCTGGAGCTGTCCAGGAAACTGCCAAATTCGCACTAGGTCACTAGGTACTTCTGTGGATTTGTATGGAACCTCTCTTTCAAGAGGTCCCCCCAGCACCGAACACCCTCCACGCACTGGGCCGTGAGGATCGGTACCTCTCTGCGCCCGGATATGGATTGAGTGGCCCTCTATGCACCACATGCCAGCGGCATCCAGCTCGCCAATTCCAGGCTACAAAGAGCTCTGGAATCGATTGCCTCAAGCGCTACGCGATGCGGAAAATCGATATGGAACTGAGGCCAGCATCGTGCTTTTCCTTGGCATTCTGCTGACCCACTTTGTCCAGCCATGCATCGGTTGAATTTCTGAGCTGCAGTCGCCTCCCAAACCCTCCCCCTTCTTGAAGCCGGGGACCACGCCAGTGGCAAAACTGACATAATTGGCCGATATCATTGGCTGAAGGCACCCACCCGGGGCAGTCTGACAGTCTGAGCAAACGCATGCAAACGCCATCGGCGAACATTCAGTCGGGCTACACCAGCAGTACACTCATCAGCTGTTGAGGAGTCATCTAGTCGGAGTGACCGACTGAAGGTCATCGACTGATGCGTTCCGCGTCCCATCTACTAAACGAAACGACACATTTACTCATCTTGTCGTGTCGCCACCAGTGGCACAGAACCGGCATCAAGGCATGGTGAGGGTAACTAGACAGGATAGTAGTCTTTGGCCCCGACAAGGTTCCATCACTCCGCGCCGCGTTGCAGGTCAGCTCAGCAGTGAGAACGAAGCAACGACGAAGCAATGATGGAGACATGGAGACTTCACAAACATGCCATGGTCACCATGGTCAATGTTGTTCTGTTCTGGATGTCCCCACTGAGCCCCTGGAAACGGCATGAAGTGACGCCTAGCTGCAATAAATGCGCGGGGATTCTGTACAGGCATCTGTAGCTTTGCAAGGCGTTTCTTCCACGTCTGGTTCTTGCAACCTATTAACCTGTCAGCATCATCTTAAACAAAGTTGATCAAATTGGGGTCTTCCATGGTCTTCCCACCTGTTCCATGTTCCAATAACGCGTTCCTCAAGAACCTGAATTTGGGCCGGCCTCGCCCACGCTGGCAGGCGGTCGCCCGCCGGCTTGGGCACGGTCGGTCGCGAAGCTGCGTTCGGCCGTGGAGCTCACCGTCCCGGACGGCTGCGGCATGCGGCCGAAGCGCTTGGTGGCTGCCATGGTGATGTGCCGCCCCTGCGGGGAGCGCTGGAGCTTTGGCAGGCACCGCCCAAGCAATTGGGCCACCCTGGGGCACGGTATAGGCGCGGTTGGAAGGTGAACGTCCTGGTGTTTGTGTTTGCTCATCCCATAGCCAATGACATCCACCCTGTCCCTGACGTTTTTAAGAACCTACTACGCGCTGTAGGTGTGCGTGTAAAAAGGCTAGCTGCCTAGGTTCCTCTTTGCCACGGCAGCAGTGGATCATTCCTCAACTCGGGCGAACTCAAACTAGTCATCCCAAATCAAGAGACCACAAGCGAGCTCGAGACATGGGATGGCCACAATCCATCTACTTCAGACATCTTCAGACTATCTTCACCTTCTGCCGCAATTGTCGGTAAAACCATTGTTCGATGCACCTTTCTTCTGGGCTTAGCGGCTAAGCAGGCTGCTCAACAAAATGGCAGACCACCACAATCGAATTTCAATCGACAATGACTCACTGTATCACTAGCGGCACTAGCGCCAATGTGGACCACCAAAAACGGATGCCTGTGCTTCCAACGTATAGACCCTCCCGAACAATAACACCCCTGTCATCCCCTGTCCATGTTGCTCTAAGAAGATCAGCCCGCAGTGGTCAAGCCTTCAGCCACATTTCTGACCGGGGACTGGGACGAGAATGCCATCTTCTCCGTGCATTCTGTGTATGCTTTGTTGGCTTGGCTCTGCCAAGTTAAGAGAAGCCCATTCAATGCAGGGGCGCTGGTCATTCTCTGGCATTGTGCGTGCCCACAGAATCTCATGTTCACGCCCACGACCCCGGGCCAAGCATCTTTGTGCCAAATAGTTCCCAAAGCGATCCAGCAAGATCTGCGCCAAAGGCGCACGGCTGGTGCCGTCGCCTAACAAGAGCTCCTCAGCGAAAGATCCGGTGCTTCATCTGGAAGTGCCCAACGATTCGTTGAGGAGTCTGTGTACCCTAGGCATCCCTAGACTATATAACCGGAGTTCTTTTTTCAACCGTGCCACCCACCTCAGAACACATCTATATATCATTTTGAGGTGGTGGGAGGTCACTCAGAGGCTCTGAGACGAGACCACCTAGGTGGGGACCCACCACCACAAATGGGCTCAATGCGGATCAACTCGGGATATCTCGGCTAACTTGGGGTGATGTTGCACATGGCCCCATAGGCTCATATGCTTGAAATTATTTACAGTAAAAAATTTTAGACATATAACATTATGACAAAAGCAAATTATGTTGCACCACCTTGGCTGTTTTAGTGGACATTATTGTGCTACCACCACCTACATGTGTTTTGAAATAATACTTTTAGAATCTTTTAGATCAGAAATCACTAAGTCACTCCCACCTTGAAAGAATGTCCCAAGGCAGGGCCCATAAGTCTTAAAACAATCCCGGTGGGCTTGCCACGTGGCAACCAGGAAGATTTTGGGTCAGTCTTTGGTCATGGCTGCTCCCTTTCTTTGCACATCTTTTCTTAACAGGTCCAAGGACTCCAAAGTTCTCTTTAGACTAAGTGTGCCTCCACCGGCAAGGCAGGATCACTACGCAAACGAAAATGAACCGTCCTGTCTCATGTATCTGAGATCTTCCAATGGTCTGGGAGATCGAAAACCCCTGTCCCACCTCCATCACCTCCTCCCCTCCATCCGCCAAAGGGTCGACCAGCAAATCACGTTCTGGGAAATCGCCCGATCTCTCGCTGCTGGCTTCTAAGCATCGTTCGAACACCAGGCTTGCATGCCTCGAGAAAGGCCGTGGCAGTCCCGCTCCAGGTCGCCCCGAGGCTACGAGACAGTTCTGTCTGAAAAGGCTTCTTTGGGTGATAAAAACTCTGGGTGCTGAGTGCATAGAAAAACGCCTGCAAATCATGTGGTAGAGGGAACTGATATACAGTACATCGGTTTTTTTTTGGGGGGGGGGTCAAGTGTATGGTTCCCCGAGGGGTGACGTAGCTCCGCCTCCCCGAAGGGGGGCCATGGCTGCGTGAAACGACGACCGAACCGGGGACTTCGAAACAAACCATTTCGACGCGGAAGGTGACAACAGCCAAGCCATGACCAGGATCTGACAATTCAAGAGGCTTGTGCTTGGCAAATTTGAGAACATTTGTCGAGATCGCCGCCATAATGACCTCCAAAGTTCGTTCGTCGTTCGGTCGCGAAAGCACCGAAACAATACGAAGTGGACATGACCAGTCACGATTCAGTCTTTGATAATAACTATAACATACTATAACCACTTAGTAAAGCAAAATCTTGTAAAATCTTGCAAATCAATGTGGAGACTCAGTTCCGGCCACAAAGCCAGCACGTTGATCTACATGTGCACGTAGACTCGTAGACTTACATACATTGCAACGACTTCAAATATATACAGATTGAAACCTCCGCCTGAAATCCACTCAGGATCACTAAGTACAGTAACCCCAACTACCAGATGTTAATCAACTTCTTCCCACCAATCGTGGTCCGATTGAGGACTTCCTCAAGTCTTCCATTCATATGCATGACAATCCCAAGTTGAATCCCCACCCAACTCCCTGCAGGTTGAGTCCGCCTTCACCTGGGCATCAGTTCCATGTGCCACCAGGGCCCGCAAGACGTTACCTGGACGGAAAGGCTGGGTACAGCACCCAACGGCATCTACTTAATCCATCCAATTCCATCAAGATGCGTTGTGGGAACGCTCCCACCGGCGAACTTCGGAGCGGACGGGCGGAGGACGGAGACTCGGACTTCGGCGAGGCCAGAGAGGCCAGAGAGAGCGGGGCGATGACGTCCTTCAACCGGTCAATCGATAGAAGAAAGCCTTAACAACTTGGATCCCTCATACTGACTCATAGAGAGACACATGGTGACATATCGTGACTAAGACTAAGGAATGGGTCCTGGCTGCACATTCCGGCTGGCGAAGCAGTCTTCCTTCAAATCGTTGCACACGGTTGTCGAACCATGGTCAACCGTTTGGCATGCTCCAATTTTTCAGGAAGGGCGACAGGGAGAGAGGATTCCGGACCGATGGAAGTGAAGAACCCTTTACACAACTCCCCCCTGCAGCACTGCGGCACCATCTGCCAGCGCCCAAATTATACAATTCTCAAAGTGTTGCTCGAGAAATCCAAAAGAAGTCATTCTGGATCTGAGTCTGAGTGAAGAAATTCGAGTCGAGTCATGTCAAATCACGGCGTTTCAAGTTTTAAATGGTGGGCCACCACAGGTGACTGGGCCTCTTATGGCTGCCAAGCTGCTGCCAAAGGGGTCCTTGAGAAGCTTTTCAATTTGGGGGACTGTCGCGAGCAGCGACTCCACAAGCTTGCTGAGTTCTGGCTCCTTGGAGCAATGCTCGATGAGGCGCTGCAAGACACGGCAGCCATAGACGTGCGCCGCGACCTCCAGCGCATGAGGCGTCAGCTCCTGAAGGATGAATGCACCCGCGGAAGAGGGCAAGAGCTCCACGTACTTCTGCAGGACAAAGTTTGCATGCAAATGTTGGCAGAGTTTCAGTGCCTTCCCTTGCAGTTCACTCGCGAAGGCCTGCTGAAACTCTGGAGAGGCTTCTTCCAATGCTGCCTGCATCACCCGGCAACCCCAACGATCTTTCGTGAGCCTCAACAGAGATCCTTGCAAGCGCCGGGTCATCGCTGGGATCGTCGTACTCCCGTGGTCTCGCGCTTTCCGGCACGCGACGAACAGGTCGCTGATGACGCCAGCGCCATTGGGATGGCTGGCCAAATAGGGGAGCTCTGGCAGAAGTGATGTTACAACCAAGGGTGGCGCAGAAGCATCTGTGGCCAACAATCGCGAAACCACTTCTGCTCCATCCTGGCTCCGCACCACCTTTCCAATCGCCTCAACTGGTGCCTAGGACCTAGGAGTCTAGTTGCCACGACTTCTCTTGAAGGTGTCCAAATCAGAGGGGGCTTGAACGAGCAAACATTTGTGAAAAACCAACCAAGCAGCTACATCCTCTCTGGAAAGAAGAAGTGGAAGTCCTGATGTAATGGGTGCTGGTGCGGCCTTTGGCTTGCTGTACCTCTGCCAGGAGCGGCTGCACATGACAGGTCGTGCATGCACCCAGCATGTCAGATCAGACAGGGAGGTTCACCAGTTGCCGAGCGGTGCGGCGTCCCCCCCAGGATTCGAAACGTATTTTCAGTGTTTGGTAAATTAAAATCATTGTATCTCTGTTTGATATGTATTTTCTACACACTGTTGGGCTCATCGAACAGTGTGTAGATTGAACCCGGACCTAAGCCAAAGCTTCCTTTGTAAACAGGTTCAAGCAAGCGTTAGAGTTATACTTAACATCAGCCACTCAAAATATAGCCCTCTACTTACTACTATCACAAAGGGTTTCAAATGGGTTCTAGGTGCGTGTGCATTTATATCGGGTTTTCCTGGCCGAAAGCTACTGTACCTGCTGATGTCTTACAGGACTTATTAATTAGTAGACTACATCAGACTACTAATTAAACATTCTGGCGGCGTTAACCCGGGCCCTACCCTCATTCCAATTGATGAAGACAAACCATTCTTTTGTCAAAACCACGAGGTGGTTCTTTTATCCACCGAACGAGGAACCGCAAGAACTGCCCGAAAAGAACTGTGCAGAATCGGAGTCACTCTGGCGTGCCCAACAAGCCAGCAAGATGCATGAGATTCGCCGCTTTCAAACTCTCGAGCACCTGGAGGCTGTGCGACCGGAAGTCGTTTGGGCAAGAAGAGCTGTGCAGCTGGGTTTCCCTTGAACAAAGCCGCTGCACGCGCAAAAGTGGAACTCCATATGTTGGTATTGCTTGTGGTTGTTCGCCGCTATATCGCTTTACAGTGTTTCGATTGGCAGGAGAGAGAGAATTCTATTCACAAGGCAGCCCTTCCTTCCCCTTCACTACCCCAGTAGTTCTTTTTCTAGATTTCTTCATCTGTGGCATGCACAGATTAGACAATGATATAAAAGGAGCTCCCTAGACACCATTTTGATCAAAAAAAGTGGTATCGCTTTGGTATCGCTATTAATGTATGTTATACTATATAAGAAGAAATTGCCAAGCCAAGAAATACCATACAGGAAATTGAATGAAATGGTTTCGCTTGTGGTTGTTCGCTATAATATCGCTTTACAGGTTGTTTGATGATTTCAACGAAATTGTTCGACTCACATAAAGATGTGTGTACAAACCCTTTGGGGTGTTGCTCATATGCAATCATATGCATGCAACAAATGCGGGCAGCCTGAAAAATCATTGCAAAGGCTGGTAGGTTCTTTGCAAGGCAAGCGGGTTCTGCGAGAAGTTCGCAGTTTTTTCCCCGCCGACTTCGTCCAAGTTCTGAAGCTGGGACCTCCATCTGGTCATTTTCGAGGCCAGGGGGTAGAGAAGGACACCTGAGCACGTCCGGCATCCAAATGCCCAACAAGCATGTCCGGTGATCTGAAGCCAGTCAGCGACCCGAGTATAAATGATACAACAGCGAGGTCTATAAATCCTATACTTGGCCCTATGCATTCCTATCTGCAGTGTCCAAGGGTTGTCATTTGGGATGTGTGCCATCTCCTGTGGAAGTCCTGATGTGGAACCACACACACGCACTGACACACCTGTCCGACGCATTCTTAACACCTTCAGAATTTTGGCGAACTTTGCAGTTTGATGCGAAAATTTGACAAGTCTGAGGGACACCCTCGGCCCCAGGGCAGCCAACTTGGAGAATGTGGCAGTCCTGCAATTGGCCAAGCCGACGACAAAAGATTCATCCGTCAAGCAGGAAGTCACAACGCGGTGTATTGTAGAAGTTGAAACAATAATGTTGGATGCTGATTAGTAATAGGGTCCTCTATAATGCTGTTTTGAAAAACATAATTGGACCCCCTGTTTGCTTTAAGGGTCCTCTATCAGGTTTAAAACACTTGGATCCTAAGTGTTTTTAATTGAAAAACATTTAGGTTCAAATAGATTTCCTTTAGAACAATAAAGATAGTAATTATTAATATTACTAAGCCAATGGTTGGGTTGCTGAGAGTATTGATAAGTATAAGTTTCTATAGTTTTTCTTCAAAACTGACAGCTTCCCAAAACCATTAATTCCCTAACCAATCCGTTGTGTAAAGATTGCCCCTAAACTCCTAAACAAATTATCAATGTAGTAGACCAGGAAGGCCCGTGATCTTCAATAATGAATTTGTTTTAAGGGTCCTCAATTGTGCAAAGTTTTTTCCTGGAGAAAAATAAAAATTAACATTCCTAATACTACTAAGCCCATGGTTGGCTTGCTGAGAGTATTGGTAGGTATAGGTGTCTCAAGTTCTTCTTCAAAACTCACAGTTTCCCAAAGCCAATTCCTTAATCAATCCTTTATGTAGTAGTATGAAAGGATTGCAAAGAATACCTGATGATAAAGAATTTCTGAAAGGGCAACGAATACTACAATCAATTAATTACACAAGGAATCCTCCTAGGAACCCAGATTTGTTTTAGAGGACCCCCCATTTCTTTGAGGGACGGGGGGTGCCTTTTCTAATCAGGATCCCACATTAATATGAAATCATGATGTCCCAACACTAAGCCCGGGTGCCTATTTAAAAACACTGCCCAATGAACAAAGTGGATGCCGGAAGCCCATAAATAGAGTTATTTTTAAAGTACTGCCTTTTTGAACTACCAAAGCTACAAACATTGTCGATTTCTCATGTGTTTTCCATTGAGGTTCATAAAGCAATCCTAGCTGTCCACCCTGTCTGTCCACCATTGTGCACCATGACACGCCGCGTTTACACACTAGCATGTTTTCCTTCCATGGACTCACGCAAACGCACTTTCCACCGAGGCCGCGCAAAGCCGCATCGCACAGCGACATCACCGTTAGTCTAGTGAAGAGTCGCTATTTTAATAAAGTGCTCTTGCAAAGGGAACAAGAAGACCCTTCGATCTGGATGTTTTGTCAATTGTTGATACGAGTCTAAAAAATGATATAAAACTGTCCTAGTCGACTTTTCGGTGTTGAAGCTCTTCCCAGGTTTGCATGGTTTCGCGTCCCCCCATTTCGGGGACGCCCTACCTGAGAAGGGAGGGGACGAAAGCCAGCCTCAGGGCAGGCCGGGCAAAGACTTGGCAAGAGGAAGTGATGGGGTAACATCGGGCAATGATTAATTTCATGGGGTGAAGCTGACATCACAGCCACACTGACAGGGGGTAGAAATGGAAAGTAGAAGGCATAGGTTTGGGGGGGGGGCTTTTTCGTCCGGCTCAGGGGCGATTAAAATGGGCACCCCTAAGAGGAAGTGAGGCGCGCTTGCCAGCGGCGTGTTGCGAATCAGTGAGCAAAGACGGCGGTGGGGGTTCATGTGCAAGGCTATGGGTGGGGTAGGTGAGGATATATATACTTGAGAGGCGGGGAACGAAAGCGATGACGACGACACGACGATCGTGAAAACACCTGAAATTAATAATCCCCTGAGATGATGTTTGTGATGTCGTGCCCCTTGGGGGGCGGGGGGGAGGCCTCAATCAATACCGCTTCAATTCGTTAAGGGGGGGACGGGAGGGATCTATTGATTCACTTCACACGAAGTGTGGGGGGGGGGGGGCCGTTTGTAGTGATTTGTCTATTGATTCCTTTGATTTTGACCCATCTAACTAGAACTTCAGCTGACCTCCTTCGGAGATCGCTTTCGTGATATATATATATATATATAGAGTGGACCTAGAGTAGCCGGAAGTGATGAGGTTGATATTGGAGCGACTTGAGTGCGCAAAATGAAGTGATAGGCTAACCTTATGTAAAGAGTACGCTTATGGGGTGACGTTGGCATCGCAGGTACGCGATAGGAGGTGGAAACAGACGGTAGAATTGAAAGGGGCGTCTCCTTTTTCGTCAAAAGATTTTATGTGAGTTTGTCGGCTGCGTGTTGGTAATGAATGACCAGAGACGGTCGTGGGCGAGAAAGCTCTGGCACCCGCCCGCCACGCAGCATGCCCCGCCGGATCCCAAGAGCTGTGGGGCACGAGCTCCACCACGCAACCGAACACCCCCAAATCGTCTGCCCGAGCAAGCGCTGGACCTTCCACCTCCAACGCTGGCCAGCTGCAATCTCTTCTTTGTCCTGCCCTCAACAACCCCCCAATCCACGTGAACTCCCACCAGATAGGGAGTGCCCTCTTCAGTCCGGTTCGCTCGCAGGCCCTCAACAAATGGCACCATGCACCCCATGGGGGGTGCCCTTTTCAGTCCAACAACTAGACCTTGCTACGGATAAAAAGGGCACCCCTAACTACGTGAACTCCCACCGCATAGGGGGTGCCCTCTTCAGTCCGGCAGCAACGCTAAGCTTGGCCGCGACTACAATCTGTTCTCTTTCCATGGCCTCCCGAGCCCCTCATGACCCCCAATCCACCTCTCCATGTGAGGTGATATGGGTTCCCCTTTTCAGTCCAGCAACTAGACCTTGCCACGGATAGAAAAGGGCACCCGCTGCAATCTCTTCTCCTGCCCCCAACAACCCCCCAATCCACCTGAACACCGCATAGAGAGCGCCCTCTTCAGTCGGGCAGCAACGCTAAGCTTGGCCGCAACTACAATCTGTTCTCTTTCCATGGCCTCCCGAGCCCCTCATGATGCTGATGATGCACTCTTCGCCGTCAATTACATCACCGGCATCACAACACCCCTCAAACCACTCATTTTTCACTACCAAGTGGCCCACCTCTTTGTTTTTCGCTCCCCCCCACCAAGCTCTGGGTTCACCTCTCCGAAATTGGCCACCACTCACTTCGTTCGCTCCAGCAACCTCAAGCCTTGCCCATCGGCTGGCTTTCGTGATGTTTACTTTTATTTTAGTGTCCTTTTTTACATAAGGGGGGGGCATGCTTTTTTGTAGTAATAGGTGGAAGGGATTACTGTATATACTGGGTTCAGGCGTGTCGGGGCCAGGGCCTCCTGATATCACAAGCAGTCATCCCATAGATATAGAAACGGCATAAACGGTACCGAAACATTTTTAAGATTGTTTAAGTGTTTAAGCACACAAGGATCGCTGCCAACATTCCTAGCTGTTCTTGATC